AGCCCGAGGGCCTTAGTCATGGTGGGTTTTGGTCTTCACACTTGCCCACCCCGAGGAATGTTCTAAACAGGAGGTCTTCGAATATCTTGTTTTTTATGTATCGAATTGTTAATTAATTTTCATATTGGCTTATGGTTATTCTCAAATAAGTTTATTTTAGTGTATAATTTTCACTTCAATTAAATTTTATTTAGTGATTATTTGCACTCCAATTAAATTTTATTTAGCGATAATTTGCACTTCAATTGGAGTTTATATAATTTAGTATATATAAAAAAAAAAAATTATGTGCATCATAAATCTCTTATATATTATAGCTATGTTTGGATTATAAAATATATATCTCTCTTAGAAAAACAACTTATAAAATGGTGAATCATACAAAACAACAAATCAACCCTAAAAAAGTTACAAATTTTTTTTTAAATAAATATTAAACTTATTTAAATATTTTTAAAACAAACCTTGGATAAATCTTAAACCCTATTTATAGTATTTTTAGTTAACAACATTAAATGACAAATTAATTATAAAAATCCGCCGTCAAGTAATTTATTTTTTTTCACATAAATAAAATAATTATGCATAAAAAGAATATAATAATAATACAAAATAGATGAGTTTTTATTTTTATTTATTTTTTTTTTTTCCGAATAGTAGAGGATCTCATAAAAGAAATATAATACACAGTTCGAAGAGCTCACTAGCTCTTACATCCCACAACCTAACGAAATAAACAACATAGAGAACCACTCCATTGGTGGCCTAGGAACATCAAGAAGACAACTGTCAACTTTAGACTATCTTTATCAACAACTCAACCAAACCCAACCTAATAGTTAAAAATTATTTATCTCTCTTCCACCTACCCAACCTAACATTTCAACTCAAATTATTTTTAACCCCAACCCAACCCAACTTAAAATATTTATTTAATTTAATTTATTTAAAAATTATAATTTTGCTCCAAAATATATCAAGTGTAGTCTCTTTTTGTAGAGCATGAAAAAAATACGAATTTTGGTATTTTTTAATTATTTTTTAACCAAAAAAATACACTTGTCCAATAGAAATGAGACATGTGTCCCATTTTTTTTTCGGCAACCAGGTCGCGACCCAAGGTCACATTGTGACCTGGATCGCCATATTTTGCTGACTTTTTTCTTTTTATTTTTTTTTATTTTTTTGTTTTTATCTCCGTGACCCAACTGTTGGGGTCACGGATAAACATAGTCTTAGAGAAACTCCAGCTAAAAGATCACACGGCCAAGCAACTAGCACACAACAAGACACAAAGGACCACTGAACCTAAGAAACTAGTCCCCGACGCCAAAACAGAAAAAACCAAACAAAGAAAAAAGACACTCGGCCTAAGAAGCTTTTGTCTGCTGAAATTCAGTCCACTCTCTCAAAGCCGAAGAAACTACTACTGTCTCCGGCATCCCAAGCTTTTGAAAAACCCATAAGTCAAGCGACTTCCAAAGTCACCAGAGGATGTACATTGAAAGTTGGATTCGCGCTTCGGAAGTCGGAGATTTATTCACATCAACTATCCACCACCACCACCTTCTAAAATCTGTTGTAGCTTCTGTAGGTGCATCCCATGATACCAGGGCTAGCTTCCAAACCCCTTTGGCTAGAGTACAATCAAATAGCAGATGGTTCATAGTTTCCCTCTTCTCTCCATAACAATGGCACATGATATCCACATCCATCCCTCTCCTAGCCAAATTTGAAATTATTGCCAGACTGTTGGAGAAACATTTCCACACAAAATGCTTTAATTTCTTGTTTAAATCCCATCATCTCATTCTTGCCTTTTTATCAGTATGGATTGATGGACTGCAGCCTGGATTATCTAAGCTCAAAACTTTCAGGATAGCTGCTGAGTAGGTAGATGCCAGAGAGAATGTTCCCTTTGAGTCCTCCCACCAAATCCATCTATCTTTGTTTGTAGGATCAAGCCCTCTCATCTCTAGAATAGCTATGGTGGATTCAAGAGTGAAGATGCTCTGAATTAACTCTCTATTCCAACTTCTGCCATTATCCATGAGAAGTTCCTGCACCCAAGTTATCTGAAAGTTCATATTATTAGATAGAAGAGAAGGAATACCAGATCTCAGTCCAGGCACCCATGGGTCAGTTAGGATCTTAGTGTTCAGGCCATCATTTATCTCCCTTCTAAAGCCCTGCTTGTAAAAAGAAAGAACTTTAACCAAAGAGTTCCAGGCTGAACTAGTTTTCCTTGCATCTAGCACACAAGTAGAAGGAAAATATTTCTCCTTTAAAACTCTAGTCATCAAGGAGTTAGGTTTTGTCAGAAGCCTCCAAACTTGTTTTATAATTAGAGAATCATTAAACACCCTGACAACCTTAAACCTAACCCACATGCATATTTTGGCACAGTAATCTTATTCCAGTCCAGTTTAAAACCTAGTCATCAAGGAGTTAGGTTTTGTCAGAAGCCTCCAAACCTATTTCAGAATTAGGGAATCATTAAACACCCTGACATCTTTAAAACCTAACCCACATGCATATTTTGGCACAGTAATTTTATTCCAGACCACCCAGTGGACCCCTTTCTTTTGCTCTGCACCACTGGACCACCAAAATTTGGCACTAAGTTGAGAGATCTCCTTATAGATGCTAACTGGCAAGCAGAAACATTACATCACAAAGATTGGTAAGGCATTTATCACAACTTTGAGGAGTACCTCTTTGCCAGCAGAAGATAGAAAGGAGTTATTCCAGTTAATGAGTCTTTTCTTAACAACAGACGGGACAAAGACAAAAACTTCCCTCTTAGATCTTACAATCCCCATTGGGAGGCCAAAGTATCTAGAGGAAATACAAACAGTAGTACCCCTAAGCCTCTGATAGATATCAACTTGCAGTCATGCATAAGAGTTCTTATTAAAAAACACAGTAGACTTCGGGAGATTCACTCTTTGTCATGTAAATTTCTGATAAGTTGAAAGGATTCTCAGCAAAGTACTGACATTAAGAGTATCAACAACACAAATAATGAGGGAATCATCTGCAAAAAGCAGATGAGACAAAAAAGTTCCCCCTTCTGTTATTCTCAGACCTTGGAGAGTACCCACATTGATAGCATTTAGAATTAATCGAGATAGCACCTCAGAAACCAAAATAAATAAGTTTGGAGAGATTGGATCTCCTTGACGAATGCCTCTAGAAGGAGTGATAAATCCAGATACTCTACCATTGACATTAAAGGAAAAGGCAGCTGAGGACATGCAAGCAAAGATCCAGTGGACAAAAGAGGGGTGAAATCCCATTTTTAGCATTATTTTAACCACACAATTCCACTCTACACGATCATACGCTTTCATCATATCCATTTTGACCGCAATAAAACATTTATTACCAGTTCTCTGTCTATTTAAAAAATGAATTACCTCATGTGCAATCACCACTTTATCAGTTAACAGTCTGCCTGGAATGAAAGCAGACTAAATCTCATGAACACAAAGTTTCAAACAATCCTTCAGTCTGACAGCTAGAATCTTAACAATGATCTTGTAGGAAACACAACACAAACTGATGGGATTGAAATGGTTAACAATAAATGGATTATCACACTTTAAAATTAGAGTTATAACAGTGTGATTCCAGCCTTTTAGAATCCTTCCAGAGTTAAAAAAAAAAAAAACTCAAAATAGCAGCATACATATCATCCTTTATAATGGGCTAATAGTGTTGAAAAAATAAATGTGTCATACCATCAGCACCTTGGGCCTTGTTTGGGTTCATTAAGAACATGGCTGCTTGAATTCTTCTTCTTCTTCCACTTGAGCTGTGAACTGGGAGTTTAGTTCATCAGTGATTGTTGGAGAGACCAGGTTTAGAACCTCAGCTTCACCCCTTGAGCCTTCTGAGGTAAACAAATTATAGTAGAAGCTGCAAATACATTCTTCAATTTGGCTTTGAGAATCAACAAGTCCATGTTGGGAGTCCACCAATCTTGTAATAGTATTCTTCTTTCTTCTGTGCGTAGTGATAGCATGGAAAAAACTTGTGTTCTTATCTCCATCCTTGAGCCATTGAATACTGGCTTTTTTACTCCTGAATTCCTCCTCAGCCAGTTGTGATTTCTCCAATTCTACTTTGATTTTCTCCCATTCTATCCAATTCCTTTAGCCCCCAGAGCTCTCATCTCCTCTAGCTTTAAGGTCAACTCATCAATTTTTGATACATTATCTGATTTACACCGCTTGTTCCACTTAAGGAGTGTCATTCTTGTCTTTATGATTTTTCTGTCACTTGATACATTAAAGTCCCCTCAATAGGTGTTCCCCAGGCTTTTGTTAAAATAGATGAAGTTGAAAGAAGTGTTGGTACGTGTGTGTGTGACAGCGCGAAAGATATTATAAGAAAGAGAAAAAATAATTTATGAGAAAGAATGTGAAAAGACATTCATGATGTAAGATGTAGACAATAAAATATTTGCAATTGATTTAGTTTCTCTCTTATACAATATTAACTCTATTGGAAATTAAAAGTGAGATTTTATTTTTTTTTTTTGTACAAAAAAGTGAGATGTTAAAATTTGACAAGCACGTCTATGGGCTGGTGCCCCAAGGCCCTGGCTGAGATTTTGAAAAGCTTGTATATGGGTATATGGGCTGATGCCCCTAGTTGAGATGAGTCTTGGGCCGTCGCCCAGGTTGTCCTGGGCCACGGCCGGCCCTGGTCCTAGGCCCAATGTTAAGGTGGTTCTCCTAGTATTTTTAGACTCATTAATTCGGGTCTTTGCTTAGCTTCGTTTGTTCTATTTTTCTTTTCTTTTTTTTTTCTGTTTTTTTTTAATATTGGAGTTTTTTTTATCTATTGTTTTGAAAAAAATGAAAGTGTCAATGAGGTAAAAGCGATTTCTTGGAGTGGCGCACTTTTCGCCTCACACCGAAGCAGCACACTCGACAAGAATCAAAATGCGGTGTGAGAAAGACTCGTCGACAGTGAAAAACTACTCTAATCACGCCAAACACTTCCAACTCCCTATCAGTCTGCTATTTCTCAGGGCCAAGGGATATATAAACGTACGAGCAGCCTTCACAATTTGGGAGCCCTAGAAATTCTCGACAACAATATACTCTTGAGCAACTCACTCTCATTTGTAAAGCAAATCTTATGGAGCTGCTCCGATCGAATCTCTTCCGTGTTCGGATTCCCGAGCCGACCAATCGCATCTACAAGGAAGAGTGTTGCATTTCCTTCGATACTCCGGTTTGTTTTCGCTATGTCTTTCTCTCCGTAGCTTTGCTGTTGCATGTAAATGCAAACCTAGAGGTGGATTTGAAGTTCTTAACGCAGTCACGAGTTTGCTTGTTCATTTTGGTGGAATTGTTGCCCTGATGTTATGGTTGGTTTGCGGTTTACTGTTCTTAAACCCTAAATTAGGGTGTTAGTTTGTTTTGTTTGGGGCACTTGTGGTGGTTGGAACACATTTATTTGTTGACAATGCTGCTCCACTTGTGTGCCTGAGATCTGTTATGTACTTAATTTGTTGCGTGGTGGCGAGATTTGTAATGTGTAATGAATGTGAAGATTCGAGTAAGCTAAAAAATGCTTCATTGTTTGTTGCTTTGAGTTTCCTTGTAAGGTATTCAATACTACTAATTTTTCCATCCATTATTGGTTACTGATTATTACAATGGTTTTTTTTTTTTTTTGGGGTGCAGAAATCAGAGGGTGGACTGTACGTGGATATGAATTCATTTCTTGCTTTTGGGAAGGAATTTGTAGGTTGGAACTATGAGAAGACTGGAAATACGGTTTATCTACACATCAAGGAGACGCAAAAGCCGGTTTCTGAAGATAGGCCATCAAAGAAACCCACACTTCTAGCAATAGGTACTGAGTGAACTAGAGTTTAAGTGGTGGGACTCATTGTATGCTTGATGTTGTTGTTGAAACTTGGAAGTTTTCATATAATATTACAAAAATATGGTCTGTGCACAGATGTGTTTCATCAGCAAACTCATTAAGCGGACCCTGATATTTGTGTTTAGGAAGAGACCCAGTGGTATTATTGATAAATCATTTGATTGGGATCATGTTTTTTAGGTTTAGTAACTGATATGTTTGTGTTCATATCAGAATTTCTTCGATAAATTAAGTTTGAGATTGCATAAATTATTGGATTTCATTTAATGAAGATGATAACTGGCTTAGGACTTAAACTAGGGCAGTTATCTTCCTTTCTACTCAGTACAATTTTTACTGCGGATTACTCGATGTTTGATGTTCCTTGTCTTTTAGATGCATCAAACGCATTGTTGAGCTTGTTTTCTTTGACACTATTGTTCATTATATTATGCATAACGGCGCCTTATACGATTTTTTTTCTTTCTGCAAATTGCACTTTTCTCCATGTAGGAGTTGAAGGAGGTTTCGATAACAACGAACCTGAATATGAGAAGAACTATGAGGTAGTCATCTTGCCGGATTATGTCACTCTTCCTTTTCCATCAGTGGAGTTGCCAGAAAAGGTAGTAATCTTTTTCCCATTACGTGTTGTCAAGTTGTATATAATGCATCTCATTTTAGTGTGTGTACATGGTCCTAAGTTTTATCTATTGATAGCGTCACTTTTGTTGCATTCCCAGGTTAGATTAGCAGTTGATGCTGTTATTATAAATGTGGCTGCGGAGAAGAAAGAGCAAGTTGCTGCCTGGACTGCTGATACAAAAATCATTAGTAAACATGCCATGGAATTGAAACAGCTTGACAATGGTGTCATTGTTCCTCGTTCCGGGTGGAAGTGTGAGAAGTGTGATAAGACTGACAATCTTTGGTTAAATTTAACCGATGGATCAATCCTCTGTGGCAGAAGAAATTGGGATGGTAGTGGAGGTAATGACCATGCTGTCAATCATTACAATGTGACCAAGTTTCCTCTGGCTGTGAAGCTAGGAACAATAACTGCTGATATAGAGGCAGCAGGTAACGCCTTCATTTTCTCTAATATTTAAATGCGCTAGCTTGCTTTGATAATTGGTAATTGTATATTCAATTTTACTAGTGCTATTAATTTAAGTTATATATATATATATTGGAATTCAAGCCAGTCAGTGGAATACAATTTCTAGTATGAATAGTCAGTATAATTAACCTCTTTTAGTATAGTTAAAATGGCGAAACATTAAATGCTGTGATTTATTTTCTAATTTCTATTTTTTTTTTTTTGCCTGTCATGCCAAGTCCAATCTTTCCTTTCAGTTCGTATCATGAGATACAAATTAGGATCTGAGAGTTGATATTGAGTGGAAACTGGCAATAAGTTGTTAAAGTTGGCTAATGCTGAAGATGCTGGTTTACTGAATCAATGCTGATATTTTGAAGTAATGTTTGTGAAATTGAGAAAGCTAGAATAAATAGAATCATAGTCTAACTTGTGAAAAACTTGAACATCTGATTTTTGAAACTTTTTTTTTTTCAATCCCATTGAGGATGTCTTTTAACCTTCTAATGTTTTATGTGTTCTATAATATGTTGGGCTGCTGTTTGTTCTCTGGTAGATTTCCAAGTCATCTCCGGTTCTCCCAATAAAATTGTATTCTAGATGCCTTATTTCCATTCATAAGCGTAGTCCGGATTTACTTGCCTAGCTTTCAATCAGTGATCCCCTTAATCTACATATTACTAGGTTCCGCCATTTAGTATTGCATTATGCTACTCACATAAAATGTTAAATGTGGATTGTGCAACTAAAAGCACCTAATTATATGTATTGTCTGTATTTGTGTGTACTTTTCGGGTAATGATGCATTTGAAAAACAATAAACGGACGTAAAATTATTTCAATTGTAAAACATTTCACCTGAAAAAAATATATCAATCATATTTCTGATCATTTAACATGGAAAATAAATGAAATCCATTGAAGGTTGGTCGAAAAAAGCTTCAGCTCTGCCCTTTATTATCAGTTGGAAACTCCAAATTAATTGATTATTTACTGTTCATACGTA